TATATATATATATATATATATATATATATATTCACTTATTACAAGCGTAATATTATTTTCACATTACTTGTGAGGGTAACATTTCAATAATTACTTTGCATGTGTGTGTGTGTGTAATACTAACCAGTCACCACAACATTGCAATCCATATTTTCTTGCCCACGTGTATCCACAGTAAAGTTGACTCCATTAGCAACAGAAGTCATTTTCAGAGAAGCACCAGATACTACGGATTGTGAACTGTCCATCCACTTTCACATAGAATGGGCTTCCTAAAAAGAATATAAAAAATTAATTTTAAAAACAGTCATTTTCTTTCTCTTCCTCTCCCTCAATTGATTAATTAATTTTCTTGCAACTTAGCAGCTGTTGGCCTCTTTTTGTCAATGAAACATGACAATAAACTTTAAAACAGCTAATATTACTACAACTCCATGCCATTTATGATTTTCAATTATTTTGTTATAAAGTTAAATTGAATAGATATGACATTTTCACATCAAAAGGATTTGATATCCGAAATAAGCCTCATAGATCTTTTGGTTTTATTACAAAACTGAAAGCCAATAGTACTCTTCTCCAGAACAGATAAAGATATTCACTAACAATAAGTCACCAACAATACTTGATCTGTAGTCTCTTAATAAATAAAGGTTTAGAATTCCTGCTTCAGCAAAAGTTAACCAGAGGAAATAATGCTACAGTTCAAACTTTGCTACTGGGATGTTTCAAATATATTTGTTGAACTTTATGACTTGCTATGTCAGAAATATAAGTTTAATCAGTCAGCATTGGTGTAGTACTGATAAAAAAAAATATTGTTCATACTTCTTTTTCTCTCAGTAATCATCAGTCAGAAATACAACCATTGGCAAGATATAATAATGTGATATAAGAAACCTGTTATAACTAGTTATGAAGTTTCTTCTGCCTGCATGTAGTATGGTAGTTAAGATAATGCAAAGATGTTAGCCCTTAATTTATATATTGACTTTTGTTTAGTTGGGCTTAAAATGCTAGAGTTTGTGTGCACATAAACATACAATAATAAAATATACCAACAATTTTCCTGGGAAATAGTGACGTAAGAAAATGACTTAATGTTTAAAATAAAACTGTCTGGCCTATATATAAGACAAATTGTGTTTAATGCATATTACAAAAACTAAGAGAAGCAGATGTAAAAAAATATAAATATGTGAGCCACAAGTAAAATGAATAAAGAGGGGTTGACACCTACACCATTACTTCTATATGTAGAAAACCTGTTACATTTTTATGCACAAATAAAAAATTAAGACTTAATTTAATGGTGACAAACAGAAACCATATGTCATATGTGGAATTGCACCGTTGACCTTATATATCTTATAAATCAGGTCTCTTACTAAGGTGTTAAACAAACATTAAGTATGGCTTAAACCATGATTTTTATAAAAAGGTTCACTAAAGATGTTTTTTTTTCAAATTAAGGTATTTTAATTTTTGTTTCCTTGCTTGTTTTGGATACTTGTACAAAGTTACCCAAGAGATACGTGTGCTCACAACCTCTAATTTAGAAATGACAGATTAGAGAGAAGGCAGCTAGTCAACAACTTTTGGGCTATTCTAATCTAATACTGTAATTTGACCATCTCTCATAAAATGCACTCATGGTTCCAAAATGTGACATGCAAAGTTGTGACAGTGGGACATGAGCCATGTACCCTTAGATTCACAATTTGGCCCAGATATTTGGAAGAAACTAGAATTGTCAACATAGCTTGACAATATCACAAAAACTGCCTAAATATACAATGTAATTTTATTCTTAGTTTTAGTGAAATAGTGTGATTAAAATTGTTTATTAATATAAATTTATTTTTAAAGATATTCATTATTGAATTGGTTTATAGAGGTCTACTGGTTAATCAGCTAATTTTATTAATGCAAAGAGAACTCGGAGAAGAAGGATTTTCCAACTTAAGACTCAAAATCATATGAACTGAAATTGGTTTTAAGATCACCATTGGCAAAAGGTATGAGAGAAAACTTATGTTATGTAAATAAAACAGTTGTTTCATTAAATATGACATAACAATGAATGACTGTTGTTACTTGCAACAGTTTTTTTATAAAATGAATAATGTGTTAATGTTGTTACCAGAAACAAGTTTTCCTTTATAAATAACAAAAAAATGTAGTAATATATATCTATATCATTGAGAAAAAAAAATATGGTAGTTGTACCAGGAACACTAATTATACCTAGGACAATTCAATATCCAAAATAATTAAATGTTCTATTATAATTATTTATACCTGGAACAGGCTCTCCATTAAACTTCACACTTAGTGTGTGTGTTTGGGGTTCAGAGGGTTTAAAGTTGACTCTGAACCGAGCATTTCCTTCCGACTGAACATAATTGGGCACATTTCTTCCTGCTACTGATACAATAATTTCCAGATTTCCAGCTCCAGCTTGACTAGCATCAACTGAGAATTGAAAAGAAAAAACAATATTGGATGTAAAATTCCATTTATTAACAGCCTTATGAATAATAAGGTGCACATAATAGTAAATACTAATGACAAAAGTATCTCGGCTAACACTTCAATGGATTTGAAGAAGTACGTAACAACGTTTCTAACTAAATATACTTGCATATCTCTTTTCCATAGTTTCTATCACCACAGACAATTTATAATGTAAAAGAATATACGAACAATGCTTATGTAATAAATAGATACACACAAACAATTTGAATACCCAATTATTTTAGATAACTATCAAACAAAGTGCCAAATAAAAAAAATACTATATATATTTATTCAAAACTTTTGATGCAAATACAAAAAACAATTGAACAGCTACAAATTTTGAAGTACCCAGATTTTCATATATTAACATAAAAATTTGAATGAGAAAAAATATATATGAAACTTCTCTAAAATATTACACGATATGCATATTTTATATAGTTAGAAATTGGAGTTCACTTACTGCTGAAATACACAGGTTTTCCCACAATTCCATTTCCAACATCCGTAACTTTTACTCTGGTCGAATCATAAGCCTTCACCAGGTAGGGACTTTGCCCAACAGGATGACCAATAAGCCTAACATCTACATTGTGATCACCTGTAATGTAAATGGTAAGATTCCAATTACTTGAAAACTATTATACAGACTTCTTTTTTTAAACTAACCAACATCATGTATTGAGGAAAACAATTTTGCCATATTATTCTGATAAAAGTTTAGTTTATGATCAAGAGAAACTATATAATGATAATAATACTGAGAGATCCTTGTTATCCAATTAAAAAAATGCAAAATGTCAGACTTTAGTATAAAAAAATTTTCTTCTATGAATGTAAGATTTTTGCAAAAGTCTGTTAATGTATTATTTTGAAATTTAACAAATTATTTCAAAACATCTCTAGAGAAACACACTAAAATAAAAAACAACTTTTCAATATAATTTTGTGGAAAGTTTCTTGTTACAGCTTATAACCGCAAGTTTTTACATTTCAAACAAAAAGGGAAATTGGTTTTGTGACATCATTTTGTATTTTCATATAAGGTACAAAGTCAATGAAAAGTGTAAAATTTTGAGGCATTGTTATTAACTGCCATTTTTGTACTTGTGTGTATTAATAAATGACTATGGTAAAGTAAATGTAGGTTTTAGCTACTGAATCCTCTGTAGCTAGTTTCCTAAAACAATTCAACTTACTAACTTGTATTAGAGAACATGTTTGGTCTGCTTTTTCTTAAAGTAATTTAACCAAATGACTTCCATTTAGGAACTATATAAGATTGTAAATAATTAAATAAATTCAACTTACCAGCTTTTATCAATGAATATAATATTTTTTTTGCTTTAATAATTCAATTAAATCACTTTTTCTTAACATCTGATTTTTATATGTTTTTAAAATCAGTTTCACATAGTTTCTACTAATGAACATTCCACTATATTTTATTAAAGTAATAAATCCTTCTAAATAAAATTCCATTTTGAGCATCATTGTCTATTTCTTTGTAATAACTCAACTTACCAACTTCTACTGGTGTATATTCTACTTTGTAGTTACTTTGATAAGTTCCACTAATAGCACATTTCAGTGGTTGCTGGCTTGGACCTAAAAGTATTTTGTTCAAATAGATAGTTCTTGTAAGTGGTGAGGTAAGCTCAATATACAGAGTAACTATAATCAGTTTCTGATAATATTATATTTTGTCATAAATAACAACACTGGTGATTATTGATGTTCATTAAGAAGTTATCACTCGCACTGTTATGGAATAACTACAAAATAAGTTGAAATAAAATATACTATAATTAATGTACTTGCACATTTTTAAGTGATTTAATTTTGTTTACCTTTTTTCCCCAAAGGAACTTTTAACCCTCTTCCATAACAACATTTTAACTAATAACTAAATCAAATCATTATTTTCAAGCTACACTCGTAGAGATAAACTACTAAAAGAACACACACTTAAATTTCAATAAATTTAAACTTTCCACCACCACTTAAGGCAAGCTTAAAAGAACATACAATCATGAAATCTTCTACTATTCAACCAAGGCTTTTTTTTAACCTTATGCACTTTTTCAAACTAATGGATTTCATTAGTATATTCTTTTTAATGTTTCTACAGTTTCCTTGCAATAATAAATAAAATGTAGGTTGTCACCCCCACAAAAAGATTTTTGAGAAAAGTTAAAGTTTCATATGAAATTCATTTATTTGATGTTCACTCTTATTTAATTAACACGAACATATATATATTTTTTTTTTACCCAAATTAATCAAAAATAGTAATCCAGACCACCTTATTGTGTTGACAATACATCAAACTGAAACTAAAAAAATATTTTATCAAAAGATATTTACCCAGAAATTAATATGAATAAAATTTAAGGAGACAGCAACTCAGCCCTCTGGTATCAAGAAAGTTGAGATGAAAAAGCAATTTCATGATAATTTAAATACTGTGTAAAGTATTTACTTTAATGTTCTCTCTTCTGACTTGCCATGTAGGTGATTTACTGTAGCACGTTTTGTGATGCTCACATTTAAATAATATGTACATTTGACATCTACTTATCAATACTTCATTTTGTGTATTACACTTATTCACTAAATTGTAAAAAGCTGACGACTGAAAAGCCTACTTCTTTGTTTTTTTCCTATCATCCTACATAAACTCTTGTATATGCATATGTCTGCTCACTTTAAACATATTTCATATGTTACTGGCAAAACTAATTCTAGTACCAGATTCACAAGAATCTTGATACGTTAAATTGTCTTATTTTTTGAAAAACAAAACTGATTTATCTGTTAATAAAATAGTAATATTGTGTTTTTTTTAAAAACACTGAACATTCACCCTGTAATAGGCTTGAGAAAATAGCACAGAAATTGCTTAATAAAGCACATTTTTTGGAAGCAAGGAACACAACAATTAAATTATGATACATAAAACTACTACTTCATCACAGTTTATAAAATTGTGAATACTAACCCATGACAGTAACTTGTGGCTGACCTAGATTGAAACCCTGAGTATTAATGAAGAAAGTTACAGGCAAGTTCACTGGCACCCTCTCAAGTCCATCACCAGTTACCTGAACTTTGGGCAGATTGACTGGATCAACAATTAGGCATTCATATGGACTTCCTGCAAAAACATAACAGAATCATTATACATCAGTTTATTACATAAAGTTTATAATCTATACATATCTAGTTATCACTTTATATCAAACTATTGTATAACAACTTATTCATTTTTCATCACTTTATGCACACAAAAACATAAATGAAAAAAAAAATTGATCAAAGTTATCTAAATATTATTGTCATAGTTATTGGTTGTGGAATTCCACACAAAGCTACTTCAGTGCTGTCTGTGCTAGCCATCCCTAATTTTCAAGTGACAGACTACAAAGAAGGGGCTATTCTAATGATATAATGGGATTTGACTGTCAGTTATATACCACATCTATGGCCCCAAAGTGCAGATTTTGAGGTTTTTTTGCAGTAAAAGAGAGCAAACCATCTTAAACTTTGTTGAGACACATAATACTCTCATCTACCTCTTTATGATTAGTTTCATAAAATATAAATTATTAATAACATCCAACTCACCAGGTACTGGTTCTCCATTAAACTTCACATCAATGGAATGAGGTTGATCATCTTTTGGATGAAAGGAAATAGCATACAGGGATGGTGACTGAGCATGAGCTGAGGTTTCAACTTGTCCATCATTAATCATTACCTCTAGGTTTCCTGGTCCTGCATTGGCTGTCTCCACTAGAAAAGTAGAGATTTGTTAAAATTTAGGACTGGCAATCTTAGAGTTATTTTTTAAAATATTTTCTGCAAAATTAGTTGCATGAGAAAAATATCAACCATCTATTTATCATAAGGATTGCAGGTTAATAAAACTATAAGAAGAATCATAACGATTAGCAAAAACGAACAAATAACTGTAATATAGTGATTTCTACTTTATTTTTATTTATGGTCTTGTTTATTGCTTTTGTATTTTATCCTTCTATCACTTAGTTTAGCTATATTTCTATTTATCTTAAAAATGTTGGCTCACCTAGTGTAAAATTATATGTTAAAAATGTCATATTCATATTAAGAAACCAATATGGTTTATCGTCACTGGATAGTAGGCTAGTGTATGATTACACATACAAAATGTTAAGTTGCTAGTCATGTGATGTGTAATCTTTTGGTGTGGCAAAAAAATTGAAATGAGACTGTGAAGAGTAGTTAAGACTGTTTGCTAGATATTAAAAGGTTATTCTAGATACTCACTTGATTACACCATAACAGTTGTTGCTCATGCAATTTAATAATATAGCATTTCAACCCTACTGATCTAAAGAGTCCTGGTAGTGGGAGAAAGGCCTTATTCACACTGGTATGGCAGATATAATGTGGTTGACATGTTACACATTTGTCTTTACTTTTCACTCTTAAGTTCTCAGAATTATTTGTGATTTTACGTTACTTTGAGAATTGTTTAATATTGTTCTTTGGTGTTATGAATTAGATATTTTTTGTTCTTCTGCTTATTTTTCCTAATTTGTTATTATTGTTAGAATTATTTTGCATATTGAATATTCGTATTTGAGTTTGAGATATTTAGTTATGAAGTCTTCTGGTCAAGCCTCACTTATAAATTATCAATCACTGATATTTTGTTAAATGTTTGTCATGCTTAATGAATTTATAATTTATCTTATCTTGGCAATAACATAGTTGATTGATGTGTTACATAGATAATATGGTTATTTGATACATTACAAAGGTAATTAAATTTCATTTTTAATGATATATAACTAGTTAGTATTCATAAGACTGAATAAAAGTAAAAAGTATATATATATATATTCATTGTTAATAAAATATTAGTGAAACTAAGCTTAAGAAAACTATAAAACTGTTAATCTTACATGCTAACAAATGGCACCTGTTACCAAATCCTGAAGTATGCCTGTTTATTTAGAAAAAAACCTATGGCTGTGAACACCCCCAAGTGAAATTTAGTGAGTGGATATGTTTGTCAAGAGGAATAGAAACATATGATAAACTTCTGAAACCAAGAGACATAAAACAAAGAACAAATAACTGGCACAGTCATGTTTATTAATATACTCTATTTTAAAAACAATATTTTTCTTACTACCAGAGATCATCACTTATTTCTCTATTCTCAAAAACATAAATCTATTCTACAGTCATATTGGTTTGGTTTGAATTTCACACAAAACTACACAAAGGCTCTCTGCACTAGTCATCCTTAATGTAGCAGTGATAGGTAGAGGGAAGGCAGTTTGTCAATACCACCCACTACCAACTCTTGAGCTACTTTTTTACCTATGAATAGGGGACTTGATTATCACATTATAATGCCCTCACTGCTGAAAATGCAAGCATATTCAGTGACAAAGATTTGAACCTGCAACCAATATGTTACAAGTCAAGCTCCCTAACCATCAGGCCATGCTAGGCCCTGCAGTCATATCAATAATAAAACTTTGCCATTTATTTCTTAACTAACTATCCACTAGGGTGAATCGCCTAGTACAGCGAAGATCTATACAGAATAAAACAGGCATTCACTTTAGGTATAGAAAAGTATATGCTAATGTGATTTAAGTAATTCATGCAACACCCGTATAATTAATCATGTAGTATAGATGGATCTGATAAGGACATGGTGCTTGCTAATCAGAAGTGATGTATAATTAATCATGTAGTATAGATGGATCTGATAAGGACATGGTACTTGCTAATCAGAAGTGATGTATAATTAATCATGTAGTATATACAGATCTGATATGGGCATGGTATTTGCTAATCAGAAGTGATGTATAATTAATCATGTAGTATATACAGATCTGATATGGGCATGGTATTTGCTAATCAGAAGTGATGTATAATTAATCATGTAGTATAGATGGATCTGATATGGACATGGTGCTTGCTAGTCAGAAGTGATGTATAATTAATCATGTAGTATAGATGGATCTGATAAGGACATGGTACTTGCTAATCAGAAGTGATGTATAATTAATCATGTAGTATAGATCAGGATCTGATATGAGCAGTGGTACTCTGCTGGTACCTACATCCGCTGCGTACAGCAGTGATATAGTGATTCTACTTTATTTATTT